TTTACAAATTACAACATAATAAAGTAATTATGATAATATAGGATAATACATACTGTAATGCATAATACATAAAAATATTTGACATACTATTAACATGAAAATTTATAATTTAATAATGCTTTTTTAATCTTTTAGATATAATAATGTGTATTTATAATATTAATGACATTAATTAAGGTTATTCATCTACATATTACAGCTTAATAGGATACATATAATAAAACCTAATGGTAAATAAGAAACATTTATGAAATCAAACACATAATTTTATTTAATTAATCAGTAATGGCATATTCATTCATATTATCAGTATTCTCATGAATTGTTTCGTAACTATTAATTGTATCGTAATTCTCATTAATCTTATCGTAATTATCATCAGTCGTGTCATTACGTTGTAAGCGGCGGTGATTGTAACGAAACTCTAATGTATTTTGTCTACTAATCCGTTTCAATCTCTTATATCTCGTACTCAAGTAAATAATGATTAAAACCAACACAAATATAACACATATTATAAATACGAAAGCAATTGTTTTGTATAAACTTGGTGATTTATCGCTTACATTCTCAGCCAGATTAATTTCGGACATAATACTCTCGCAAATCTCTGTCGCACTTTTAATTGAATCCCGTAATTCATATGTCGACTGCACCATGCTAACATTTTTGGTCAATTGATAAAAACGCATGTAATCAATTATAAGTACAGGACAGTTAGTATCTTGATAATTATCATTATCGGGATTAGCGTGGATGGAATAGTTGATCACGATCCCCATTTCCAAATATAACGGTATGTCACCTGAGGTATTGAACTCGGTAAATGATGAATTGTCAAGCCTTTTGTTGGTCATAATACTCATATCATCGAAACTAAACGTACAGTGAGTGGCATTCCACTGGAACACGTACTTATGAAATTGGTGCAACTTGTACCTGGTGTAATGTTTGCTCATAAAAACTTCCAGTTCCTGTTGTTTATCGGGTGACAACATGTACCCTTCAAACGACTCAATTTCCATGTTAGATATCCGACTTGTTTTATTTAAAATATGACCATGCTCATTGTCGTGGGTAAGGAATAATTTGCGCAATTACCTTTATGGCACCCCATACCGGTGGGAATCCAGATTAGATGGCCTAGATATGTACATAAACAAGGCTACCCACTCGTATACAGGCTGTCTTTTGTGCACAAGTATGCTACAGATGTAGTCATTGACCGGACGTATGATAAATGCCATGCAATCGTCTTCTAGTATAACCTGGTTCAGTGTCGAGTAACAATTTATATCATCATAGAACCTAGTTTATATAAAAATTAATTTAATAATTACTACAGATGTATCATTTTTAAAATTTAATTAATAATTCACATTTTATTACCTAGTGTTACAACCATTATACGTGAAATAGTCCGATTTGGTGATGTGCATGTACCTTTTATGTGTCTCTTCACTCCATATTAGTTCCCAGTGACCAGTATCATTTCTCAGATCATCAGTAGCAATTTGTTTAATAATTATTAAGTAAATTAAATAATTCTTCATTAGTTTAAACATAATTTATTAGTTTATTAGTTAGTTTATTGTGACAGGAAATTAATTTACATAAATTTTTAATGATATATAATATGATTTATAAACAATATACTGTCAAATATCGACATTTTTATTCATATCCTTTACAACTACTACTTATAATAAAATTTTTATTTTAAAGGAAACAAACAGTACTTTTTCGCCAAATTATTCACATTTGCATAAAAACATTTGAAAACTAACAACATTTTAATCTTTCAAATACTATACACTAATGTGTAATTTATTCATTTACAAATTACAACATAATAAAGTAATTATGATAATATAGGATAATACATACTGTAATGCATAATACATAAAAATATTTGACATACTATTAACATGAAAATTTATAATTTAATAATGCTTTTTTAATCTTTTAGATATAATAATGTGTATTTATAATATTAATGACATTAATTAAGGTTATTCATCTACATATTACAGCTTAATAGGATACATATAATAAAACCTAATGGTAAATAAGAAACATTTATGAAATCAAACACATAATTTTATTTAATTAGTCAGTAATGGCATATTCATTCATATTATCAGAATTATCACGAATTGTTTCGTAACTATTAATTGTATCGTAATTCTCATTAATCTTATCGTAATTATCATCAGTTGTGTCATTACGTTGTAAGCGGCGGTGATTATAACGAAACTCTAATGTATTTTGTCTACTAATCCGTTTCAATCTCTTATATCTCGTACTCAAGTAAATGATGATTAAAAGCAACACAAATATAAGACTAATTACAAATACGAAAGCTATTGTTTTGTATAAACTTGGTGTTTTATCGCTTACATTTTCAGCCGGATTAATTTCGGACATAATACTCTCGCAAATCTCTGTCGCACTTTTAATGGAATCCCGTAATTCATATGTCGACTGCACCATGCTAACATTTTTGATCAATTGATAAAAACGCATGTAATCAATTATAAGTACAGGACAGTTAGTCTCTTGATAATTATCATTATCAGGATTAGCGTGGATGGAATTGTTGATCACGATCCCCATTTCCAAATATAACGGTTTGTCACCTGAGGTATTGAACTCGGTAAATGATGAATTATCAAGCCTTTTGTTGGTCATGATACTCATATCATCGAAACTAAACGTACAGTGAGTGGCATTCCACTGGAACACGTACTTATGAAATTGGTGCAACTTGTACCTGGTGTAATGTTTGCTCATAAAAACTTCCAGTTCCTGTTGTTTATCGGGTGACAACATGTACCCTTCAAACGACTCAATTTCCATGTTAAATATCCGACTTGTTTTATTTAAAATAGGACCATGCTCATTGTCGTGGGTAAGGAATTTAAACGCGTTAATGGAAATACCGTGGGGTATGGCCACCCTTAGGTCTAATCTACCGGATCTATACATGTATTTGTTCCGATGGGTGAGCATATGTCCGACAGAAAACACGTGTTCATACGATGTCTTGTAGTCATTGACCGGACGTATGATAAATGCCATGCAATCGTCTTCTAGTATAACCTGGTTCAGTGTCGAGTAACAATTTATATCATCATAGAACCTAGTTTATATAAAAATTAATTTAATAATTACTACAGATGTATCATTTTTAAAATTTAATTAATAATTCACATTTTATTACCTAGTGTTACAACCATTATACGTGAAATAGTCCGATTTGGTGATGTGCATGTACCTTTTATGTGTCTCTTCACTCCATATTAGTTCCCAGTGACCAGTATCATTTCTCAGATCATCAGTAGCAATTTGTTTGATAATTATTAAATAAATTAAATAATTCTTCATTAGTTTAAACATAATTTATTAGTTTATTAGTTAGTTTATTGTAGCAGGAAATTAATGTTTTTACAAATAATTTGCATTTGACTGACATTTAAATAATAAAGAGTTTAAAGATTTATTACATATACATAACTTAATTTTTGACAAGGATATGCATAATATTTTTTATAAATTATCTAGAAAATTCTTAAAATTAATAATTTACAACAAAAATTTTAATGTACATGTAAAGATTGTAATAATTACTATTTAATTAATTATTTTGCTGTTAAATTTTACAATTAACTCGCCTAGTACATAATAATTAATTTAATCATGATAATATGATTGATACATTCACAGACAGGCGTTAGTGGTTTTAAATAAAAATTGATTCATGTGTTTATTTCCATAAGTTTATATGAAAGTATAACTAATACTACTAATAAGTTGACCAAGCTCTAACACCTGTCTGTGAATGAATTACTCATATAATATATAAATAAAGGTTTACAAATTTATAGGATTTTGTGAAAATAAGGATATCTTATTCATTATAACGGATGAAACCTGACAAATATAGGCTTATTTTTTGCTTATTGCAAGCTTTTTTTGCTTGAGACTAAATATCATAATTTTTAGTGTATAAAGTCTATGAGTTTAAATTAAAAAGATATTAATATTTAGTTGTAAGCAAAAAAAGCTTGCAAGATGCGAAAGAAGTCAGGCTTCATCCGTTATATTGAATCAGATATGAATCAAATTTTTATATTATTTAATTGTACTGTACAGTAGATCAATTTTAAAATTTACATTTTCTATAACTATAATATTAACCTTATAATGATTTCTTATTTTTAGTTTTTACTCAGCTTTACATTAGATTAAAATCTTTATTTGAAATTCATTATTATATTGTTGTTTTTATTTAAAACATACTTTATTTGTATACTAATAATTGTTAGTAATTAAAGGCAAACAAAAATTATAATTTTTACTGTTTAAAAACAAACTTTACAATATTTATATATAATATTAAACATGGTTATTTATAGCAAGAGCATCATATTATTTGATTAAACCTTATTACAATTATTAATTAACATTTATCTAATCATGATTATCATTAACCTTGTCATAATGATTATTAACTTTAATGTAATCATCAATAATCTCATCGTATTTATCATTTTTATGTCAAGTATTACCCCTTGGCTTGTCACTTGAATGTCAAGTTAAATACTTGGGATCTGGTCACTCTGATCATCAATAATCTCATCGTATTTATTGTCATTCATTTGGATGTCGTCGTAACCAAACTCTAAAGCATTTTCTTTGTTAATCCGTTTTAATCTTTTATGTCTAAAACACACGTAAATTACTATTACAGCCAAAACTAATACAATACTTATTATTACGATAATTATGAGCTTCAATGGACCCGAAGGAAAGGTTTTGGCTTTTGAACTTTTCATTGGATTCATTTCAGACATCATAGCCTCACATATTTCTGTCGCAGTCTTAGGACTATCTCTCAATTTGCCGGTCATGTTCACCATGCTCACATCTGTCCAATAATAGACACGCCAATAATCAAGGATAAATGCCGGACACTTTGAGCCCTTAAAATCATAATCATCGGATATCGTATGGACAGTATTATTCATGAAAATGCCCATCTCGAAATACAGTGGTTTATTACCAATAACATCTAGCTCATTAGCAGATTCATTGCCGAGTCTAGCTGTGGTCATAAGATTTATTTCATCGATACTATACTCCAAATGCGTGGCATTCCATTGAATTTTATACTTATGAAATTGATGCAAATTGAGCTTGGTGTAATATTTGTCCAAAACTCGCGCCATTGTCTGTTCCCGTGTCGGTGACAGCAAATAATTGTCGGATGAGCCGTCTGTTTTGAAACTATGCACTCGAGTTATTTGGTCTGATGTGTTAGCATGGTCATTCTCGTACGTGGATGACATGAAGACATTAACCGACATACCCCGGGGTAGGGCCACCCTTAACTCAATCCGACCGCGTGTCAGAATATGTTTGGTCTGTTCGGTGAGCACCTGTCCCACGGAAAACATGTGCTCATACTTTGTCTGGTAGTGACCGATCGGTCGCACTATTAGTATCATACAGTCGTCCCTTAGAAATATACTCGGATTCTTGAACGTCAGGCTACATCTTAGGTCCTCAAAAAACTTGGCTAATATTAGCAAGGTATAATATTAT